TGTAGATGAGGGTGTGTGTGTGTGTAGATGAGGGTGTGTGTGTGTGTAGATGAGGGTGTGTGTGTGTGTAGATGAGGGAGTGTATGTGTGTAGATGAGAGGGTGTGTGGTGTGTTGTAGATGAGGGAGTGTGTGTGTGTGTAGATGAGGGAGTGTGTGTGTGTAGATGAGGGAGTGTGTGTGTGTAGATAAGGAGGGTGCGTGTGTGTGTGTGTAGATGAGGGAGTGTGTATGTGTGTAGATGAGAGAGTGTGTGTGTGTGTAGATGAGGGAGTGTGTGTGTGTGTGTAGATGAGAGAGTGTGTGTGTGTGTAGATGAGGGAGTGTGTGTGTGTGTGTAGATGGGGAGTGTGTGTGTGTGTGTAGATGAGGGAGTGTGTGTGTAGATGAGAGGGTGTGTGTGTGTGTGTAGATGAGGGAGTGTGTGTGTGTGTGTAGATGAGGAGGGAGTGTGTGTGTGTGTGTGTAGATGAGGAGGGTGTGTGTGTGTAGATGAGGGTGTGTGTGTGTGTAGATGAGAGGGTGTGTGTGTGTGTAGATGAGGGAGTGTGTGTGTGTAGATGAGAGGGTGTGTGTGTGTAGATGAGGGAGTGTGTGTGTGTGTGTAGATGAGGGAGTGTGTGTGTGTGTGTAGATGAGGGTGTGTGTGTGTGTAGATGAGAGGGTGTGTGTGTGTGTAGATGAGGGAGTGTGTGTGTGTAGATGAAAGGGTGTGTGTGTGTAGATGAGGGAGTGTGTGTGTGTGTAGATGAGGGTGTGTGTGTGTGTGTGTAGATGAGGGAGTGTGTGTGTGTGTGTAGATGAGGGTGTGTGTGTGTGTAGATGAGGGTGTGTGTGTGTGTAGATGAGGGAGTGTGTGTGTGTGTGTAGATGAGGGAGTGTGTGTGTGTGTGTGTAGATGAGGGTGTGTGTGTGTGTAGATGAGGGTGTGTGTGTGTGTAGATGAGGGAGTGTGTGTGTGTGTAGATGAGGGAGTGTGTGTAGATGAGAGGGTGTGTGTGTGTGTAGATGAGGGAGTGTGTGTGTGTGTGTAGATGAGGGTGTGTGTGTGTGTAGATGAGGGAGTGTGTGTGTGTGTAGATGAGGGATGTGTGTGTGTGTAGATGAGAGGGTGTGTGTGTGTGTGTAGATAAGGAGGGTGCGTGTGTGTGTGTGTAGATGAGGGAGTGTGTGTGTGTGTGTGTAGATGAGAGTGTGTGTGTGTGTAGATGAGAGTGTGTGTGTGTGTGTGTAGATGAGGGAGTGTGTGTGTGTGTGTAGATGAGAGTGTGTGTGTGTGTGTGTATATGAGGAGTGTGTGTGTGTGTGTGTAGATGAGAGTGTGTGTGTGTGTAGATGAGAGGGTGTGTGTGTGTGTAGATGAGAGGGTGTGTGTGTGTGTAGATGAGGGAGTGTGTGTGTGGTGTGTAGATGAGGAGTGTGTGGTGTGTGTGTAGATAAGGAGGGTGTGTGTGTGTGTAGATGAGGAGGGTGTGTGTGTGTGTGTAGATGAGGGAGTGTGTGTGTGTGTAGATGAGGAGGGTGTGTGTGTGTGTAGATGAGGAGAGTGTGTGTGGTGTGTGTAGATGAGTGTGTGTGTGTGTAGATGATGAGGGAGTGTGTGTGTAGATGAGGAGGGTGTGTGTGTGTGTAGATGATGAGGGAGTGTGTGTGTAGATGAAGAGGTGTGTGTGTGTGTAGATGAGGGAGTGTGTGTGTGTAGATGAGGGAGTGTGTGTGTGTGTAGATGAGGAGGGTTGTGTCTGTGTGTAGATGAGGGAGTGTGTGTGTGTGTAGATGAGGGAGTGTGTCTGTGTAGATGAGGGAGTGTGTGTGTGTGTAGATGAGGGAGTGTGTGTGTGTGTGTGTGTAGATGAGGGTGTGTGTAGATGAGGAGGGTGTGTGTGTGTCTGTGTGTAGATGAGGGTGTGTGTGTGTAGATGAGGAGGGAGTGTGTGTGTGTGTAGATGAGGAGGGAGTGTGTGTGTGTGTGTAGATGAGGAGGGAGTGTGTGTGTGTGTAGATGAGGAGGGAGTGTGTGTGTGTGTGTAGATGAGGAGGGAGTGTGTGTGTAGATGAGGGAGTGTGTGTGTGTGTAGATGAGAGAGTGTGTGTGTGTGTAGATGAGAGAGTGTGTGTGTGTGTAGATGAGGGAGTGTGTGTGTGTGTGTAGATGAGGGAGTGTGTATGTGTGTAGATGAGAGAGTGTGTGTGTGTGTAGATGAGGGAGTGTGTGTTGTAGATGAGGGAGTGTGTGTGTGTGTAGATGAGAGAGTGTGTGTGTGTGTAGATGAGAGAGTGTGTGTGTGTGTAGATGAGGGAGGTGTGTGTGTGTGTAGATGAGAGAGTGTGTGTGTGTGTGTAGATGAGGGAGTGTGTGTGTGTGTGTAGATGAGGGAAGTGTGTGTGTGTGTGTAGATGAGGGAGTGTGTGTGTAGATGAGAGGGTGTGTGTGTGTGTGTAGATGAGGGAGTGTGTGTGTGTGATGTAGATGAGGAGGGAGTGTGTGTGTGTGTGTAGATGAGGAGGGTGTGTGTGTGTAGATGAGGGTGTGTGTGTGTGTAGATGAGAGGGTGGTGTGTGTGTAGATGAGGGAGTGTGTGTGTGTAGATGATGAGGGGTGTGTGTGTGTAGATGAGGGAGTGTGTGTGTGTAGATGAGGGAGTGTGTGTGTGTGTGTAGATGAGGGTGTGTGTGTGTGTAGATGAGAGGGTGTGTGTGTGTGTAGATGAGGGAGTGTGTGTGTGTAGATGAGAGGGTGTGTGTGTGTAGATGAGGGAGTGTGTGTGTGTAGATGAGGGTGTGTGTGTGTGTGTGTGTAGATGAGGGAGTGTGTGTGTGTGTAGATGAGGGTGTGTGTGTGTGTAGATGAGGGTGTGTGTGTGTGTAGATGAGGGAGTGTGTGTGTGTGTGTAGATGAGGGAGTGTGTGTGTGTGTGTAGATGAGGGTGTGTGTGTGTGTAGATGAGGGTGTGTGTGTGTGTAGATGAGGGAGTGTGTGTGTGTGTAGATGAGGGAGTGTGTGTGTGTGTAGATGAGAGGGTGTGTGTGTGTGTGTAGATGAGGGAGTGTGTGTGTGTGTGTAGATGAGGGTGTGTGTGTGTGTAGATGAGGGAGTGTGTGTGTGTGTAGATGAGGGAGTGTGTGTGTGTAGATGAGAGGGTGTGTGTGTGTGTGTGTGTAGATGAGAGTGTGTGTGTGTGTGTATATGAGGAGTGTGTGTGTGTGTGTAGATGAGAGTGTGGTGTGTGTGTAGATGAGAGGGTGTGTGTGTGTGTAGATGAGAGGGTGTGTGTGTGTGTAGATGAGGGAGTGTGTGTGTGTGTGTAGATGAGGAGTGTGTGTGTGTGTGTAGATGAGGAGGGTGTGTGTGTGTGTAGATGAGGAGGGTGTGTGTGTGTGTGTAGATGAGGGAGTGTGTGTGTGTGTAGATGAGGAGGGTGTGTGTGTGTGTAGATGAGGAGAGTGTGTGTGTGTGTGTAGATGAGTGTGTGTGTGTGTAGATGATGAGGGAGTGTGTGTGTGTGTAGATGAGGAGGGTGTGTGTGTGTGTAGATGATGAGGGAGTGTGTGTGTAGATGAAGAGGGTGTGTGTGTAGATGAGGGAGTGTGTGTGTGTAGATGAGGGAGTGTGTGTGTGTGTAGATGAGGAGGGTGTGTCTGTGTGTAGATGAGGGAGTGTGTGTGTGTGTAGATGAGGGAGTGTGTCTGTGTAGATGAGGGAGTGTGTGTGTGTGTGTGTAGATGAGGGAGTGTGTGTGTGTGTGTAGATGAGGGTGTGTGTAGATGAGGAGGGTGTGTGTGTGTCTGTGTGTAGATGAGGGTGTGTGTGTGTAGATGAGGAGGGAGTGTGTGTGTGTGTAGATGAGGAGGGAGTGTGTGTGTGTGTGTAGATGAGGAGGGAGTGTGTGTGTGTGTAGATGAGGAGGGAGTGTGTGTGTGTGTGTAGATGAGGAGGGAGTGTGTGTGTGTAGATGAGGAGGGAGTGTGTGTGTGTGTAGATGAGGAGGGAGTGTGTGTGTAGATGAGGAGGGAGTGTGTGTGTGTGTGTAGATGAGGAGGGAGTGTGTGTGTGTGTAGATGAGGAGGGAGTGTGTGTGTGTGTCTGTGTAGATGAGGAGGGGGTGCGCTACGTCCCTGTGAGGCCGCGTCCCCCGGTCACGCTGCTGGGGCAGTACCGCAACCCCTGGAAGGCCGCGTACCACCACTTCCAGCGGCACGCCGACGTGCGCGTCAAGGGTGGGTGTCCCACACCCAGCACTCACCACACCCTCACTACACACACACACCACCCACACCACACTCACCACGCACCGCACTCACCACACCCTCACTACACTCACCACACCACGCACTCACCACACCCTGCATGCACCACACGCTCTGCACTTTCACCATACACTCGCCACAAGCACCAACACACCCTCGCCCTGCACACCGCACCCTTGCCTCGCCACTCGGCCATATACCCTCCCCCGGACTGCCAGATGTGTATTCGCAAGGGGCCCCTCTTGTTAGGCGGCTCCCCAGATCGCCGCAGGTGCACGGCCGCGCCGGGGGGGTCCCGGGCGGTGCGCTAGGGACGATTCACGGCAGCGGTGGAGCCGGCCGGCTCCACGGTCTCTTCTCCACACGGCTGCACGCAGCCACCGCTGGCTCCACGATAAACAAAGACCCCCCCTCCCTCGTTTCGCCTGCCACAGACTGTTGGGGCAAGTGCTGTCAGCGAGTAGCAGCACCTTTGACGGCCGGCCTGGCACATGAGGGGTGGCCAGCATCACCACGCCCGCCTTTGTCTCCCCAGTGGCGATGTTTACACACCGCACCAAGGAACTAATTTGAGCCTGAGTCGACCTAGGGGAGTCCCAGGACCGGTTCAGATAATCGTCACCGGTGTTGGCCACGAGCGGGAATCGAACTCGGGTCGCCGGGTTCGTAGCGAAGCGACAATACCGCTCCCCACACACGCGCGCACGCGTACGTACAAGCACGCCAAGACGACTCGGCACAGGCACGCACCTACGAATAAGCATGCACACGGTGCAGGGTTTATTCTGTACGGCGCCACGCACTCACCCCTTGGGCACAGGCGTCCGGCACAACCACCACGTACACGTGTTCACATGCGTCTCCTCCGCCCGTGTGTCCCTGCGTGTGTCCCCCGCATGCCACAGAGGAGAAGAAGCCGAGCCTGCAGGAGCTGTCGAGCCAGGCGGGCGTCACCAACAAGGCGCAGGGCTGGAAGGTTCACCTCTGCGCCACGCAGATCCTCCAGCTGGTGAGACTCCCCCCCCCGCCACGCCGCTCACGGCCGCGGGGTCTCCGGTGCGGCACGGCGCTGGTGCTCGCGCATGCAGTCGCGCAGCGCGGCGACCTGCGGCTGGCAGCGGCGCCAGTCGCGCGTGGCCGCCATGCACTCCTGCACGGCGTAGTGCGACGCGGCGCAGCCGGTGCGCGCGATCATCGCGTCCACCGGGTCCTCCTCCTCGTCGTCGCCGGCGGACGGCGCCACCTTCCGCTCGTGCGGCCTGGGCTGAGGGGCGGTCATACCCTGCACGCGGCAACAACACGCAATAGCAACACGCGTGTGCGCGAGTGTTGAGTCCGCACGTGTCTTGTGTGTGCAGTGCCACGGTGGCTAGGAGATGCTAACTCCCTCGCCTGGTGTGCAGGAGGTCGTGGTTTCGATCCCGACCCCTGCTGCTGTATATTTGGAGTTTGCGTGTCTCTCCGTGGTCATGTGGATTTTTCTCCGGGTCCTCCGGTTTTTCCCTCCACATTTAGAATTAACATCATGCATTTAGAGTATTTGGCTGCTATAAATTTCCACATGATGATAAGCCACTTTATTGAGCTATCATTTGTGGCCAGGTCGCTTCTGAAAAAGAGCTTTAGAGCTCTGAGGGCCTTCATATGTATAGTATACTGTGCTGTGTGGTGTCGGGAGCAGTATTGCAACAGCGCGCTGTGCCACGAACCCAGTGACCCAAGTTCAATTCCCCCTCAGGGCCACCGACACAAGTGAGGATGATTATAATACTGCGTCTATACTGCGTGTGTGCGCTGCTGCGGTGCTACTGGACGCCTGTGAAGCTGCTTCTGTGGAGAAGAGCTTCAGAGCTTATTGGATTCTCCAGGATGAATGATGCTCCTGAGCGTGTGCTTGCGTGTGTGTGCTTGCGTGATTGTGTGTGCGTGCGTGTGTATGTGCGTGCTTGCATGTGTGCGTGCGCGTGTGTGCGTGGGTGTGTGCACGTGCGTGTGTGTGTGCATGTGTGCGTGGGTGTGTGCATGCGCGTGGGTGTGTGCGTGGGTGTGTGTGTGAGCGTACGTGTGCGTGTGCGTGTGTGCGTGTGCGGTGTTGCAGGTGAAGCTGGAGCGCGAGGCGTACGAGCGGATGTTGGTGCTCCAGGAGGCAACGTCTCCGCAGAAGAAGAAGAAGGGGGGCGGCGGCAGCGACGACGACCTCCACAAGATCAGCGAGCTCGTCCAGGTGGGGCGGGGGGGGGGGGCTCGCACGGGGTGGTGCACTGCTCACTGCGCTCTGCACCAGGGGCCTCCGCAAGGAGATAGTCGCCGTTGTTACAGTGCCCGGTCTCGGTTTAACGCTCGGCCATGGCAGCCACGAACCGGGGGCCTGGACGTGGTGGGGGGGTGGGGTGGGGGTGACAGAAGGGGTGAGGGGGTGAGTGGCTGCCCGTGTGGGAACCCGTGGCGGTACGGATACACGCCCACACGTGGACACGTGGACACCCGGACACTCGCGTGTGTCCGCGTTACTGGGATTGCAAGAGCCCTGCCACCTCCAGCCCTTCAATCCTCTGTGGATCGAGGTTGCCTACAATTTACTTACCATTACCATTATTCGCAGTGCTACAGTGACAAGCTCACATTGTGCTCATCAGCATGGTGCGCAGTGCCTGGACGCCTGTTGCCGCTGCCGCGGCTCGCCCCGGTCACTTGAATGGCTCACGATGGATGTGGCAACGCGTGGCCCGGCCAACGCAGCCTCGCCTCACCGATGGGAGCTGTGGTCCAGATCTCTCGAGGGTCTGTGGGCTCCTCACACTTGAATCCATTCTGGTTGGATTCAGGAGGAATTGTAGGCAGGCCAGCCTCAATGTTGCAAGCTACCTCAGTCGGTCATCCCATAACACCTGGGTCTCTACGTATGTGTATGTCGAACTTCTTTCGCGCCTTATGTAGCTAACCGTGCTTAATCGGAGGTGCGGGGTAAGGACAATACAAAAAGCAGTTTTAAAGAAATGAGTGAATGAGTATGAATGTTGAAGTTGACCCGTGACCTGCACAACAGCGAGCCTTCCACACTTCACTTGACAGCCTTAAAGTGAACCTAGCTTGGCTCAAGTGCAGCTGCGGCGACGTGTGACGTGCTCATGTGCGTGCGGTTGCCAGGACAACGTGCAGCGCTGCAAGCTGCTCATGGACCAGATGACGGAGGCCAAGGACGCGATGCTGCACCTGCTGGACCACAAGGAGCGCGTGCTCAAGCTTCTCAACAAGGGGGGCGGCTCGCCCCCCCCCATCGCCACCACCGGCGCCACCACCGCTGCCGCCAACAACGCCGCCAACAACGCCGCCAACAATGCCGCCAACAACGCCGGCAACAACGCCGCCAACAACGCCGGCGGTGCCGGTGCCGCCGGGGCCGTCGCCACCAAGCGCGGTGGCACCAAGCGCAAGGAGCGCTCCTGAGTCTCCGCTCACGTGACCTTGCGGTGACCCCGTGGTGACCCCGCGGTGGCCCACACACCACCCTGTAGAGGATTATTGTGGCCAGGTCAGGGTTTCAGCAGCGGGGCGGGGGGGGGGGGGCTCTGGCCAGATTCGTGTGTGGAGAAAAGGGGTTAGTTTTGTAAAGGTATGGGCAGGGATTGTTGTGTAGAGGGGGGATGAGGTTGTTGTGTAGAGGGGAGTGAGTGTGTTGTGGCAGGGCATTGTTGTGAAGAGGGAAAGTGTGTTGTGGTCGGGCTCTATTGTGTCCCTACGTCTTTGTTCTACACGAAGCAGAGAGCCGATTACAGTCGGCGCAGTCTTTAAGCTACACGGTAAGGCATTGGAGCCTTCTCCAGGAGTGTTGCAGGCTGTTGTAAGTTTAGTCGGTAAGTGACTGGAGGTCACATGAGAAGACGTGTGGGGGCCACGTGGGCTGGGGGGGGGGATTTTATGTAACGCGGCGTCTCTCCAGGGTCTGAGGAGAGAGGGGTCTGCAGGAGGGATGGAGGGTGGTCTGAACTCTGATCTGCTTCTTCAGCGGAGCCGTCTCAATCCCAGTAACGACGGAAAGTATATGTCCGTGGGTCTGCGTGTCCGCGGGTCCGCGTGTCTGCGTGTCCGCGGGTCCATGTGTCCACAGGGGCAGTCGCCCACCACCCTCACCTCTCCCTTGGTTCAAGGTGCCGCGGTTGATAATTAAAACAAGACGGGGACTGAAACGACGACGACTTCTCCTCGCCTCTTCTTCCACGCCGAGTTTCGTCTTTTTGCAGCAAGCAGTGCACCACCCAACTTACCAGTGCCAGTGGTCATCCTTGACTCATATGACCAGGATCACAAAGTGGCATGAGTTTATCGACCCCGTGGTGTTGATGGTGATAAACGACAGGAGGATGGGCTCCACAGGATTGGATGTCATGGCTGGTCCCCGTGGTTTTAGGCCAGGGCGGTCCTGCACAGTCGCTATACTTTGTATGCTACACCAGAGGTGTGGGGAAGTTCAACAGGACCATATCTGCTTTATTGACCTGGTCAAGACCTGTGATATTATCAATAGGGCAGGGCTACGGGTCCCAGACGGTCTGCTCACAATCGTTAGGGACCTTCCTGGTGGTGGGCAGGGCCGGTTAAAGCCGCATGGCTGGAAGTCGAAGCCATTCCTAATTCACTTCGGGGTGCGACAGGGATGTCCTCTGGTCCCTACATTATTTAGCACTTGACTGCGTAGTTCGAGAAACGTTCCATGGATGTACCAGTGGAATACCAATCTGGTTCAGATGCAATAGAAGGCTAAAGCTCATTGCTGTGCTTGCGAAACGCAGAGCCCTCTGTTTGGGAACATCTGCGCCGGGTTTAAACATTCAGGCTGGCACGCCTGCGACCCATCCGAGATTTAACCAGGCTGGATTGTGTGAGCTCAGATCGAAAGATCTGGACACGGTCCCATGAGGGAGCTCCTCCGGCAGGCGAGGCTGCGTTGGCTGGGTCACGTAGTCCGCATGCCCAGCCACCGCATGGCCAAGCGGCTTGTTTGGCAGGATACAGGGGGCTAAACGGGCGCGGCACGGGCTTGAGAAGCGATGGAATGTGGTACGAGAGGATGTGGAGCTGAGTGGACTTGATATGACCGGTATCAGCGGTGTCAAGATCGGCCTCTGGAGAAGGCTCGTGAAGGACGCTGCTGCTGGGCAGCTGGGAGGCAGTCGCCCTCCAACAACAGCGAAGGGCGGAGGAGCGACGCTCACAACACGGCAAGTTGACAGGTGGAGGGGCACGTGGTGTAGTGGAGGGGCACGTGGTGTAGTGGTTAGCGCGCTGCGCTGCGAACCCGGCCTCCCGGGTTAGATTCCCGCTCACGGCCAACACCAGTGACATCTGAAGCCGGTCTTAAATGAGTGGTGCGGTGTGTAAACATCGCCACTGGGGAGACAAAGGCGGTTGGGTGTGGTGCTGGCCACCCACCCCCTCGTGTGTCGTGCCGGCCTTCATAGGTGCTACTCGCTAACAGCACTTGCCCCAATAGTATGTTAAAGCTATACGGGAGATATTTATTTTTGTGTTAGTGATGATGGTGGTAATGGTGTGGTCGTGGTGATGGTGATGATTGTGGTTAGAGTGATGGTGGTGTCATGATGGTCGTAGTGGTGGTGATGGTAGTTAGAGTGATGGTGGTGGTAGTGATAGTGGTGTGTGATGGTGATGATGGTTGTTAGAATGATAATGGTGGTAGTGATGATGGTGATGGTCGTCGTGGTGGTGATTGTGGTTAGAATGATGGTGATGGTAGTTAGAGTGATGGTGGTGGTGGTGATGGTGTGATGATGGTGGTGGTGGTGATGGTGTGATGATGGTGGTGGTGGTGATGGTGTGATGATGGTGGTGGTGATGGTGTGATGATGGTGGTGGTGGTGATGGTGTGATGATGGTGGTGGTGGTGATGGTGTGATGATGGTGGTGGTGATGGTGTGATGATGGTGGTGGTGATGGTGTGATGATGGTGGTGGTGATGGTGTGATGATGGTGGTGGTGGTGGTGATGGTGTGATGATGGTGGTGGTGATGGTGTGATGATGGTGGTGGTGATGGTGTGATGATGGTGGTGGTGATGGTGTGATGATGGTGGTGGTAGTGATGGTGTGATGATGGTGGTGGTGGTGATGGTGTGATGATGGTGGTGGTGGTGGTGATGGTGTGATGATGGTGTGATGATGGTGTGATGATGGTGGTGGTAGTGATGGTGTGATGATGGTGGTGGTGGTGATGGTGTGATGATGGTGGTGGTGGTGATGGTGTGATGATGGTGGTGGTGATGGTGTGATGATGGTGGTGGTGATGGTGTGATGATGGTGGTGGTAGTGATGGTGTGATGATGGTGGTGGTGGTGATGGTGTGATGATGGTGGTGGTGATGGTGTGATGATGGTGGTGGTGATGGTGTGATGATGGTGGTGGTGATGGTGTGATGATGGTGGTGGTAGTGATGGTGTGATGATGGTGGTGGTGGTGATGGTGTGATGATGGTGGTGGTGGTGATGGTGTGATGATGGTGGTGGTAGTGATGGTGTGATGATGGTGGTGGTGATGGTGTGATGATGGTGGTGGTGATGGTGTGATGATGGTGGTGGTGGTGGTGATGGTGTGATGATGGTGGTGGTGGTGATGGTGTGATGATGGTGGTGGTGATGGTGTGATGATGGTGATGGTGTGATGATGGTGGTGGTGGTGATGGTGTGATGATGGTGGTGGTGGTGATGGTGTGATGATGGTGGTGGTGGTGATGGTGTGATGATGGTGGTGGTGGTGATGGTGTGATGATGGTGGTGATGGTGTGATGATGGTGGTGGTGGTGATGGTGTGATGATGGTGGTGGTGGTGATGGTGTGATGATGGTGGTGGTGATGGTGTGATGATGGTGGTGGTGGTGATGGTGTGATGATGGTGGTGGTGGTGATGGTGTGATGATGGTGGTGGTGGTGGCGCCGCGTGTCCGTGCACTCCTCACCTCGGGCTTCGCGCGGCTTCCGGAACCACGCGCCGCAGCTGAGGCCAAGCCCCGCCCCCACGGGGGGGAGCCCCGCCCCCATTGGGAGCCCCGCCCCCATTGGGAGCCCCGCCCCCATTGGGAGCCCCGCCCCCATTGGGAGCCCCGCCCCCATTGGGAGCCCCGCCCACAGCCCTCCTAGCCCCGCCCTCATAACAGGCTCCGCCTATGTCACCCGTAGCCCCGCCCTCATTCCGCGTGGCCCCGCCCCACGCGTCGCGAGCCCCGCCCGTCGATTCCCGAAGCCGCCCTCCTCACCCCCCACGTGACACAGTCGCGGGGTCGCAGCCCCCGTGGGCATCGACAAGGAATCGATCCTCGCTGTGTAAAGTCTCGGATCGATTCCTCGGCTCCTGGTCGCTCCACTGCTGGATGGGGGCCCCTCCCGCACGGGGGTCACGGTGTTTGCGTTTAGGGGCCGTCCATAAATGACGTCACCCGATTTTGGACCTCGGTGGAACCACCGACGTCTTCACCGCTGCTGCTGCTGCCGCTGCCTGTCTACAAAGTGTTGTTGTCCACGTTGTGTAGAACCTCCATTGACATCGACCAGCGGGAGAATCCCCCGAGATGCAGCGCCTCGTCTCCGGGAGTGTCCCGGGCGCCGATTGACGCAGCCCACGTGACGCGGCGGCCACGTGGGCTGCGATGAAGCTCAGGGGCCGTCCATAAATGACGTCACGCACCTAGGGGAGGGGGTCAGGCATTTGTGACGATTCTAGATTTGAAGCTTTCGTGACTGCAAGGATTCACACTCTTAGTTCTTTCGGTAAAGTCACGTAGGTGAAAAATGAAATTAAAATTAATATAGTTTTGTTTTGTTAATTTTAATTCGTTTTTTACCTTCGCGACTTTACCGAAAGAACTAAGAGTATTTGTGACGATGTGTAGGGAGGGCGGGTTTGAGAAATGTGACGTCACATAAAAATGTGCAACTTAAAATAAATATAGACAACACGTTCTATACTTTTACACTATGAGATCTCTTTTACCAGTGGCAAAATATAGTAGTAGGTTTTTACCCTTTTAAACTGGTACAAAACTGACACCTTTATTCAAGGCATCAAGGACAGTGCATATTATTATCATTATCTTGCTTCTTTTCCTTTGCTTTTTTTACTACTTGTGTTGTGGTTATTGCAAACATGATGCCTTGAATAAAGGTGTCAGTTTTGTACCAGTTTAAAAGGGTAAAAACCTACTACTACGTTCTATACTCTTTGACTCTTTCGGTAAAGTCACGTAGGTTCTACTTAATTAAATAGAATTGTTATAACAATGTAATGCGGGCGTAAACGACCTCCCAGATGTGACGTCACGGGGGGAGGAGTTACGTCACGTGGGGGAGAGGGTTCAAGTCTAAAAGGGGAGAAACCGGAAGAGAAGAGAGAGTTGTTGGAGACTGGGATAGAGTAAGGCCACGCAGGGCGGAGGTTGGAGGGGTGGCGAGATCGCCACACACACGGAGTAAGGCTCGGCACCGTCGGCCAGCGGTGACCGACCCCGGAGAAGCGGGGAGCAGCGGTGAGGCTGCAGTGAGGGCAGCCGGGGGTCTGCACGAGGATATCAGCAGCGGGACTGCTACGGAACAGAGAGAGGCTACGGGAGCGACGGCAGCCTCGGGCTGCCAAGCAGAGAGTCTCTGGAGGAAGGCCGTGTGGGAAAAGTATACGAACCCGAATAAAGGACACGGAGACAGACACAGTGGTCGAGTCCTTTATTACAACAACACTAATTTTGATTAATTTTCATTATTAACTTTTTGATTATTTTAATGTATTAAGGTCACCTTTTATTTTTAGTATAAATTATATTATAATGTTAAACTTAACCGGAAGTCAAACTTAAGTCACACTTTTATAGAGAATAATACTTCGTCAGGAAGAGGAAGTGCAAATAAAATTGGAATGCAGTCGTTATATTAAAAACGCTTGATAGTTTCGAATAAGAATTTTAAAAACGTAAGTACTATTATTCCTGTCATATCAGTCGACAGAATTTTAAATCACACACATTTGTTTATTAAATAAATAAAAATATCTGTATTGCATTTTTATACGATTATGTTACGATAACATTTATGATAATATAGAGAGAAGTTTTTGGGTACAGCGATATCAAACATCCATTGTTGAGCATGGAGGGATGGTGAATCATGGAGTAGCTACTAAATGGACGTCAATCGGCAGGGGTACAATAGCCAACGCGTCCTCCATGATTCATTATTCCTCCATGAAACTTTAGTTCTTTGTACCCAGACAATGGCGTCGTGCTTCTCTGGCCAACGTTCACGCTGGGTGGAGGTCCTCCAGCACTTCTCCTTTAAGGTTACTTATCGCAAAGGCTCCCGTCACGCGGACGCTGACGCGATGTAAGCCGCCCAACGAGCCCTCGCCCCCTCCCCTTGCGGGAGGTTGTCACATCTGAGGTGGCCGAGGTCAGGTGACGCGTGACGCCGTCATTGGGTGGGAGCACGAGGAATGGGGACGCCTCCAGGTTGAGGCTTCCCTGGTTAAATTGCGACGCCGTGTCAAGGAGGCTGACGGCGGCGGGGATCAACGGGGTGTCGCCTCTGTCATCCTCAGAGGCGGATTGCTCGTGCATTGGGACGGAGGGTTGCGCCGTTATAACATTGTGGTGCCCACTGCCCTGCGGGGTAAGGTCATTTGGGCGGTACACGAGTGCCTGTTGCACCTGGGTGTGCATAAGACGTTGGCCACACTTATGCTGGACTTCTTCTTGTCTGGAATGGCTGAGGATGTCGCTAATTTGTTGAAGGGGGTGTGCAGTGCGCACGGCAGAAGCCACCGGCGAAACTCTGTTGTCCAACATTGCAATCGATTCAGGTTTCCTTCGAAAATTAACTGGTTGCTCTGGACATTCTTGGTCTATTTCCCACTACCCCTCGTGGGAATAAGTACTTGCTGGTGGGAGTTGAGTATTTCTCACGATGGCCTCTTCGGTTTTCGTGATCCCCACACACACACACTCCCACACCGTCAGGTGGTTGTCGCACTCGGTCGGCCGTATCGGCTATTGGCTGAACCTCGCCTTTATTGTGCTGGCGGGTGTTGTCACACGGTGAGGGTGGGAGATGTTGGCGATGGAGGGGATTCCGAGTATTCGCGGTTTACTGCATTTTTTTCTCTCGTGTTGTTGTTCTGTACTTATGTAATAAAGGACTTCGCCGCGCACTGCTTGGTCTCCGTCTGTCTTTATTCGGATTAACACCCGCACCCCGCTGGTCCCGACACCGGACCAGCTGCTCCTCGCGACGCGCCCCGCACGCGCTCCTCCGTCAGTCTCTCCAGCTCCCCCCGCTCCGCACACCGCTGGCCGACGGTGTGCCGAAGCCCCATCAACCACGTGGCTGATGGTGCGGCGGCCACCCAACGTGGTCCCACTTCTTCACTCCAACAACTGACCCGGAGCCCTTCTGGGCTCCCCCCTATATCCCCTTCACCACGTGACCTTGTCTCCTCCCTCACACCACGTGCCTTCGAACCTTCCGATTGGACCCGAGGTGAGCGGGGACCTTCACATACGCCCTCATACTAGCTCCGCCCCCCAATACCCCGGCCCATATGATTGGCCCAAAGGCCAGCAGCGAACCCCCTTGCGCTCGCATTACACTTACACCCTTTCCCCATTGTTAATGTACATTTGGAGGTAGTGTATATATTGTATAGGTGGGTTTGGGTATTTAATTGGTAATTGTTATTGTTGAGGCACATATAGCGTTTTCGTCACTTGTACTCACTTTTTATCACCTTATTCACTGGGTTTGTTTTAAAGGGGAGTTGACAGCCGGGACGGCTGAATGCTACGAAGGGGGGGCGGGGGTGATGTAGTGACATCGTGGATGTCACTGTGTGGTGCCAACCCTAGAGAGGCACGGCGTGCGATGTGCTTACATCGCGGACATCACGTGTGTAGCGACATCGTGGATGTCACTGGGTAATGCGGCTCTCGCGAGGCATGGCGTGCGATGCTTTGTCATCGCGGACACCCCGTACATGTGGGTGTATTAGCAGCTCTAGAGGGGCTGGGCGAGCGCTGATAGAGAGAGCTGAGTGGCACCACGCTTGGCGTGCAGTGCTGTTCCCTATAGAAGGCACGTGACCGGTAAGATCTACACAGGGACCCCAAAAAATGGGGGCTAGGGCTTGTCACGTGTCGGGCGAGATCCTGCTAGAGGATTCGAGAAGGTGGTCGTGGCCAAGGGCGGGGCCAGTCATGACCCGTGAGAATATGAACCGGGTCCCCAGAGGGACCGGGGTTCAGCCTTGCTGTTGTCATCCTCAAGATCTCCGTCCTACGTCCGAGAAGATTCACCAACACGTGGACCTGGACCCAAGCCGGGGTCCTGCCCGTTGTAGCCACTCCCAGTGTGATTAGTGCAGCTAGCCTGGTGGTCCACCACCAGAGGTTGTTATCTGGTAAAGGGGCAGTTACCCCTTTGTGTTAATGTGTTGGTGTCAATAAATGTGTTGCCTCCAAAGAGTATGTCTGCGATTCAGTTGAATCCACTACACATGGGCAGTGTTAGTCTATGGGCAGTGTTAGTCTATGGGCAGTGTGAGTCTATGGGCAGTGTTAGTCTGTGGGCAGTGTTAGTCTGTGGGCAGTGTTAGTTTGTGGGCAGTGTTAGTCCATGGGGCAGTGTTAGTCCATGGGGCAGTGTTAGTCTGTGGGTAGTGTGAGTCCATGGGCAGTGTTTAGTCTATGGTCAGTGTGAGTCTATGGGCAGTGTGAGTCTATGGGCAGTGTTGAGTCTATGAGCAGTGTTAGTCTATGGGTAGTGTTAGTCTATGGGCAGTGTTAGTCTGTGGGCAGTGTTAGTACATGGGCAGTGTGAGTCTATGGGCAGTGTGAGTCTATGGGCAGTTAGTCCATGGGCAGTGTGAGTCTATGGGCAGTGTTAGTCTATGGGCAGTGTTAGTCTGTGGGCAGTGTTAGTCTATGGGCAGTGTGAGTCTATGGGCAGTGGTAGTCTATGGGCAGTGTTAGTCTATGGGCAGTGCGAGTCTATGGGCAGTGTTAGTCTATGGGCAGTGTGAGTCTATGGGCAGTGTTAGTCTATGGGCAGTGTTAGTCTATGGGCAGTGTTAGTCTATGGGCAGTGTGAGTCTATGGGCAGTGTGAGTCTATGGGCAGTGTGAGTCTATGGGCAGTGTTAGTCTGTGGGCAGTGTTAGTCTATGGGCAGTGTGAGGTCTATGGGCAGTGTGAGTCTGGGCAGTGTTAGTCTGTGGGCAGTGTTAATCTGTGGGCAGTGTTAGTCTGTGGGCAGTGTTAGTCTGTGGGCAGTGTTAATCTGTGGGCAGTGTTAGTCTGTGGGCAGTGTGAGTTTATGGGCAGTGTTAGTCCATGGGCAGTGTGTGTCTATGGGCAGTGTGAGTCTATGGGCAGTGTGAGTCTATGGGCAGTGTGTGTCTATGGGCAGTGTGAGTCTATGGGCGGTGTTAGTCTATGGGCAGTGTGAGTCTATGGGCAGTGTGTGTCTATGGGCAGTGTGAGTCTATGGGCAGTGTGAGTCTATGGGCAGTGTGAGTCTATGGGCAGTGTGTATCTATGGGCAGTGTGAGTCTATGGGCAGTGTGTGTCTATGGGCAGTGTGAGTCTATGGGCAGTGTGAGTCTATGGGCAGTGTGTGTCTATGGGCAGTGTGAGTCTATGGGCAGTGTGTGTCTATGGGCAGTGTGAGTCTATGGGCGGTGTTAGTCTATGGGCAGTGTGAGTCTATGGGCAGTGTGTGTCTATGGGCAGTGTGAGTCTATGGGCAGTGTGAGTCTATGGGCGGTGTTAGTCTATGGGCAGTGTGAGTCTATGGGCAGTGTGAGTCTATGGGCAGTGTGTGTCTATGGGCAGTGTGAGTCTATGGGCAGTGTTAGTCTATGGGCAGTGTTAGTCTATGGGCAGTGTGAGTCTATGGGCAGTGTGTGTGTGTATGTTGAACTTGCTGGGGGGTGGTTGCCCATGGATCGGCATTCCTCATCCCCGGGACCGCGTTTCTTGCGTGTCTCGAGCAATGCCGAGTGGCCAGTTGCCAGGCTCTGACATGTCGTTTGGAGTATTTGGTTGCTATAACAGTTCCACGTGATAAGCCCACTTCATTCCGTGAGATGTTAACTCCCTCGCCTGGCATCCAGGCCGTGGGTTTGATCCCAACCCTGACGCCTGCTGTGCATTTGCAGTTTGTATGTCTCTCTTTCCCCGTGTTCACGTGGATTTTTCTCCGGGTCCTCCGGTTTATCCCTCCACGTTTAGAATCGCGCGTTTCGAGTGTTTGGCGGCTCCTGCTGCTATACATTTCCACGTGAATGAGCCACTTCGTTGAGCTATCATTTGCGATAGTCAGGTCGCTTCTAAAACAACAGCTACTGTCTCTAAGTTTAGTGGGCCTCACCTGGTAAAATTGATAATAGTTTAAGAGCTTTAGATTCTATTCTCGTGATGGCAGAAGCAGCAGCCGCCGCGTGTCCAGGAGCTCGAGGTGCTACTGCCGCTGCTACTGCTGCTGCTGCTACTGCTGCTGCTGCCGCTGCTACTGCCGCTGCTACTGCTGCTGCTGCTACTACTGCTGCTACTGCTGCTGCTACTGCTGCTACTGCCGCTGCTACTGCTGCTGCTACTGCCGCTGCTACTGCTGCTGCTGCTACTACTGCTGCTACTGCTGCTGCTCACCGCGACGAGGAGAGGGCATCGGCAGCGAGAGGAGTTCGTGGAGTTTCGCTGTCCCTCCTCCTCCGTTGAATGAGCGCAGGACACAGAGGCGTCACTGCGCGGTCCGTCGCTTGGGTCGCATGGCCCACTGGGGCATCTCTTCAATGTAGCTGTGTACCTCCATGTAACGATGTGTCTCTATCTTGATTTGAAGCTTTCGTGACTGCAGGAATCCATACTCTTTGGCTCTTTCGGTAAAGGCACGTAGGTAGAAAACAAATCACGTTGTTCCACCCGATGAAGATTGCTTGTGTTGCCATCGAAACGTCGTGATTTCTTTTATTTTATTTCTACCTACGTGACTTTACCAAAATAAGCAAAGCGTATGTGTCTCGACAAGTCTATTTCTGTCTCTATGGCAGTATTCTTCATTGGGGGAGTGGTAGTGTACTGGTTCGCACGCTGCACTACGAACCCAGCGGCTCACGGCCAATACTCGTGATGATTATCTTCATAGGTGCTCGCTAACAGCGCTTGGCCCCACAGTCTGTTCAGGCTACACGGGGGATCTTTGTCTTTGTTCCTCATTGGAAGGCCCCGTGGGCCACTGGTGGGCCTCTGACGTGTGCCTCCCCCCCCCCCCCCCCGACAATACACGAAAGTAAATACTCCACATCATCATCATCGTGCTGCTGTCACAAAACCCCGATGATGTCTGATAGGCGAAAGTGCCACCCCACCTCTGGAAATGAGTGAAGACCACCGCTCTCAGGGTTTATTGTATGCGCCAACATTCGAGTTGCATGGCCACAACCGCGCCACTGTGGACCATCGTCAAGCATTCCCATTTGTGAAGGTGTGTGCCGTTGGATGATGGTCCCGCCGGTGTGTTAGAGGCGGCGGGATGTCCAAGCCAGGAGGTGCGATGTTTGGGTCCCCCGTGATGACGAGTTACTCTGAATGTCCCCGTTCTTGTTCCACTGTTTGCCAGCGGTCTTGCGGCTCCGGGTGAGGTTCCAGGATGGCAACAGCGGAGCTGAGGTTCGGCACTCGAATGGGAGACGGAGGCGGGAGGGTTTGGCGGTGGCCAGGAGATGGAGAGGCACAGATATGGATTCTTGAATCCATCTGTACAAAGCTAGGCGTGGGTGGGGTTTCTCCGGTTGCCCTCCCAAGTGAAGCGAAACTCCCATTAGTGTAATTGGCCAAACATCCAAATGTAGCCGAGCCTTCGTGTGTGTGTGTGTCAGTCTGTGTGTGTGTCAGTCTGTGTGTGTGTCAGTCTGTGTGTGTGTCAGTCTGTGTGTGTGTCAGTCTGTGTGTGTGTCAGTCTGTGTGTGTGTCAGTCTGTGTGTGTGTCAGTCTGTGTGTGTGTCAGTCTGTGTGTGTGTCAGTCTGTGTGTGTGTCAGTCTGTGTGTGTGTCAGTCTGTGTGTGTGTCAGTCTGTGTGTGTGTCAGTCTGTGTGTGTGTCAGTCTGTGTGTGTGTCAGTCTGTGTGTGTGTCAGTCTGTGTGTGTGTCAGTCTGTGTGTGTGTCAGTCTGTGTGTGTGTCAGTCTGTGTGTGTGTCAGTCTGTGTGTGTGTCAGTCTGTGTGTGTGTCAGTCTGTGTGTGTGTCAGTCTGTGTGTGTGTCAGTCTGTGTGTGTGTCAGTCTGTGTGTGTGTCAGTCTGTGTGTGTGTCAGTCTGTGTGTGTGTCAGTCTGTGTGTGTGTCAGTCTGTGTGTGTGTCAGTCTGTGTGTGTGTCAGTCTGTGTGTGTGTCAGTCTGTGTGTGTGTCAGTCTGTGTGTGTGTCAGTCTGTGTGTGTGTCAGTCTGTGTGTGTGTCAGTCTGTGTGTGTGTCAGTCTGTGTGTGTGTCAGTCTGTGTGTGTGTCAGTCTGTGTGTGTGTCAGTCTGTGTGTGTGTCAGTCTGTGTGTGTGTCAGTCTGTGTGTGTGTCAGTCTGTGTGTGTGTCAGTCTGTGTGTGTGTCAGTCTGTGTGTGTGTGCGGGGAGCGGAAGTGTAGCGGTTAGCGCGCCGCGCTACGAACCTGGCGACCCGAGTTCGATTTCTGCTCACGGCCAACACCAGTGACGATTATTCGAACCAGTCTCGGGCATCCCCTAGGTTGACTCGGCCTCAAGTGAGGCCCTGGCATGGTGTGTAAACATCACCACTGGGGAGACAAAGGCGGCCGGGCGTGGTGCTGACCACCGACCCTATCGTGTGCCGTGCTGGTCTTCATAGGCGCTGCTCACTAAGAGCACTTGCGTCAACAGCCTGTCAAAGCTCCACGGGGGATCTTTGTCTTGTGTGCGAGAGTGTGTTTGTGTGTGGTGATTTATACGTTGGTCAGCGTGTTTGTGCATTTGTCAGTGTGTATATGTGTCTGTACGTGTACATGTTTGCGAGCGTGTGCGAGTGCCAACGTGTAGCTTTAACAGGCTGTTGGGGCAAGTGCTGTTAGCGAGTAGCACCGATGCAGGCCAATGCGGTAGACGAAGGGGGTGGGTGGGTGGCCAGCACCACGCCTGGCCACATTTGTCTCCCTAGTGACGATGTTTACACACCGCACGAGGTAGTCATTTGAGGACGAGTCAATCTAGGCGAGGCACAGGACTGCTTGAAATATTCGCCACTGCTATGGGTCGTGAGTGGGACTTGAACTCGGGCCGCCGGGTTCTTTGTGCAGCGCGCTAACCGCTGCACTCCCGCTCCCCACACTCTCACGCAGCCGAAACTATAAAGACAAAGATCCCCCGTTAAGCCTTAACAGACTGCTGGGTCAAGTGCTGTTAGTGAGTAGCAGCATCTATGAAGGTCGGCACGGCACGCGAGGGGGTGGGTGGCCAGCACCACGCACCAACACACAGACTGACAAACACAGACTGACACACACAGACTGACAAACACACACAGAGACTGTGATCTGGCTCCAGGTGTTCCACGTCACGTGTTGCACCAAAGTGACCCCAGACAAACTCCGCAATACTGTACTGTATATACACAGAACCCCTTAACACAGCACGGATGGGGCACAGCCCAGCAGTGGCACGAGCAAGCTCCCCCCGTCTCGACACGAACGCACACGCGCACACGCACGTACACGCACGTACACGCACGTACACGCACGTACGCGCACACGCACGGACACGCACGTACGCGCACACGCACGGACACGCACGCATGCCGCGTACGCGCGTGTTGCATGGCCGCCCAGGCAGAGAAAGCGACGGCGCTGGGACCGCACCGCGGCACCGTCCACAGTGCCGGCTCGTGTCCATCGCGGGATCCACTCGGCACCGCACTGCGCCAGCCTGTCCACTGTGAACTCACACGGCGCCGCAACTCGCCAGTCCGTCCGCTGGAGCAGATGAAGATCCGCAGTGTCAAGCGCCCACCGTGGGGTCCGCTCAGCGCCGCACTCGCCTCGAGTGTCCAGGGCGCAGTCCAATTGGGGACCGGCGCTCTGTCCCGGCACTCGCTCAGCGCCGCACTCGCCGGAGGCCCCAAGCAGGAAGTCCTTCAGGCCTCATGGACCCCGGCTTCCTCCTCCAACCCTCCTCCCACCACCACGTCGATGATGAAAAATTGGGCGATGGTGGTTGTGGTGATCAGCTTAGTGGTGGTGGTGATGAGCATGACGGTAGTGGTGGAGGTTGGAGTTGGTGAAAATGGCGGTGGTTGTTGTGGATGTGTTGGTAGTGAAGGTGATTGTTTGTGGAGGTGGTGGTGGAGGTATCGGTTGTGGTTGTAAAGGGGGTTGGTGGTGGTGGTTGATGGTGGAGATGGTGGCGGTGGAGGTTGGTTGTGGTGGACGTAGTGATGATGGAGGTGGTGGTTGCTTGTGGTGGTGGTTGGTGGTTGGTGGTGGTGGCGGCTTCACTTGCGGAACGGAGCCAGGCGGCTGAGCCCCGGCCACAGGCGCTTGCGCCGGGGCTCGGCGAGGGAGATGACCGGCTGCTGCAGCAGATGCTGCGGCACGGAGCCGTGCTTCTGCTGCCAGGACAGCGGCGCCCCCGGCAACGCCGACCCGGCCGGAGTTAACGCAGGCGGGGCGGGCGCTGGAGACGGCGCGGGGGGACGGGGCACGTGGGGGATGGGAGATGGGGAACAGACATGGGCACGTAAAGACGTGGGGACACGGGGACACGGAGACACGGGGACATGGGGACATGGAGACACGGGGACATGGAGACACGGAGACATGGGGACATAAGGACAGGGATGAGAGGGAACAGTGTGCTTGAACACAGCGTGAATGAAACTAAACAGCCCGGCAAGCCCAGTCCCCAACATGGCCTTGTTTGCACGCCTCTAAATCTTCATCCCCACGAACGCAAACACCGGAGCGTCGCCCGGCGACGCTCGCACGGCCAACGCGCGGAGCTCGCCGCTCCTCGCGAGGCACCGTGTCGCATGCCACGTCGCGCTCCACTTAAACTCACAGGGACCGACGAATGACAGCAAAGGGATTGCCCACGGACTAAGAGAGAATGAATTATTCCATTGTAGTCCATGGCCATTTCTCTTTCATAGAATTTGTTTGAGCCGATCCCAAAAACAAATTCAACCTCAGGCAGAACCAGGCAGGGTGAGGCAGGGTGAATCAGGGTGAGGCAGGGTGAGGCGGGGTGAGGCAGGGTGAGGCAGGGTGAGGCGGGGTGAGGCAGGGTGAGGCGGGGTGAGGCGGGGTGAGGCGGGGTGAGGCGGGGTGAGGCAGGGTGAGGCAGGGTGAGGCGGGGTGAGGCGGGGTGAGGCAGGGTGAGGCGGGGTGAGGCGGGGTGAGGCGGGGTGAGGTAGTGGCTGATCCCAGGGGGGCTGGAGGGGTGCTATGGAGGCGATTGGCATTGAGAGGAAATGGATCGAGTGTCAGCACGTGGGGAGCTGTGGCCCCGCTGCGTCCCCTCGGGCTCCGCTCCGCCAGGCCCTCGCGAGGGGGGTGGCCGAGGGAGGAGACGGAGCTACTCGGCGCTGCGGACGCGGCGCGACAAGAAGACGGATTGTCGGGCGGTGCAGCGTCTCGCGGGGGCACGGGTTGACGGGCGAGAATGAGCACGCTCTGTGCGGGCGCCGGCTTTGTTACAGCGAGGGGTGATCGCTGGTGCCAATGCTGTGTGAGGCCCCCAAATTAGCTGTAGCCGAGTAACGATTCACCGCTCCCCCCACCGCTCCCCCCCACCGCTCCCCCCCACCGCTCCCCCCCACCGCTCCACCCCACCGCTCCCCCCCACCGCTCCCCCCACCACCGCCGGGGGCCTGCAGACATGCACCTGCCGCTTGTAGTGTTTCTGTGCAGGCAATGTGACCGGTCACCTATTCGGTCGGAGGGGGGGGGGGGGGGTCCTACCGGGGGGCGGGGGGGGTCCCATTACTCCTTGGGCTGCCCGGTCACCCAGGACACCGCCCGTCGGATGATCCCCACCGCCAGTTTGGGGGACATGGGGGGGGGGGCGCGGAAACACGGCGGGGGAGACGCGGGGGGGGCCGGGCGGTAGCGGCGGAGCGGGAGACAGGAAGTGACGTCATGGAGGGAGGACAGGGAGGGTGCGGAGCCTCGCATGGAGGACTCCAGGTGGAGGCCTTCCCTCCCGGGAGCGGAGACACATAGAGACAGAGAGAGACACACGGAGACAGAGAGAGACACACGGGGACAGAGAGAGATAGGGGGGCAGAGGGACAGAGGGGGGCAGAGGGACAGAGGGCAAGACAAGTCAGAGAGACAGCGAGAGACACAGGAGACAGCAGGGCACGTAGGAGAGTCGCGGAAACACGAGTAGAGAATGACGCAACTTGCTGCCTTGTCCACATCTCAGCGAGTGGTTGCGCCACAGGGGAATTAAAGGGCGTGCGCGGGATCGTGACGATCAATCGCTCCTCCACAGAAGTGTCACGCGGTGAGGAAAAGCGTCACTATGGATGAGGTAAATGATAGAGGCCCACCGACCGACGCACTCGTCACCCACACGTGGGCGAGTGTTCCCACGAGCGAGTGAGTGAGCGTGTTAGTGAGTGTGTGAGTGAGTAGGTGAGTGGGTGAGTGGGTGAGTGAGTAGGTGAGTGAGGGAGTGAGTGGGTGAGTGTGTGAGTGAATGGATGAGTGAGTGGGTGAGTGAGTAGGTGAGTGGGTGAGTGAGTAGGTGAGCAAGTGAGTGAGTAGATGAGTGGGTGAGTGGATGAGCGAGTGGGTGAGTGAGTAGGTGAGTGGGTGAGTGAGTAGGTGAGCAAGTGAGTGAGTAGGTGAGTGGGTGAGTGAGTGGGTGAGTGATTAGGTGAGTAGATGAGTGAGTAGGTGAGTGAGTAGGTTAGTGAGTAGGTGAGTGGATGAGTGAGTAGGTGAGTGAGTAGGTGAGTGAGTAGGTGAGTAAGTAGGTGAGTGAGTAGGTGAGTGAGTAGGTGAGTGAGTAGGTGAGTAAGTAGGTGAGTAAGTAGGTGAGCGAGTAGGTGAGCGAGTGGATGAGTGAGTAGGTGAGTGAGTAGGTTAGTGAGTAGGTGAGCGAGTAGGTGAGCGAGTGGATGAGTGAGTAGGTGAGTGAGTAGGTTAGTGAGTAGGTGAGTGAGTAGGTGAGCGAGTGGGTGAGTGAATAGGTTAGTGAGTAGGTGAGTGAGTAGGTGAGCGAGTGGGTGAGTGAGTAGGTGAGTGAGTAGGTGAGCGAGTAGGTGAGCGAGTGGGTGAGTGAGTAGGTGAGTGAGTAGGTTAGTGAGTAGGTGAGTGAGTAGGTGAGTGAGTAGGTGAGTGAGTAGGTGAGTGAGTAGGTGAGTAAGTAGGTGAGCGAGTGGGTGAGCGAGTAGGTGAGTGAGTAGGTGAGTGAGTAGGTGAGCGAGTGGGTGAGTGAGTAGGTGAGTCAGTAGGTTAGTGAGTAGGTGAGTAAGTAGGTGAGCGAGTGGGTGAGTGAGTAGGTGAGTGAGTAGGTGAGTGAGTAGGTTAGTGAGTAGGTGAGTGAGTAGGTGAGTGAGTAGGTGAGTGAGTAGGTGATTAAGTAGGTGAGTGAGTAGGTGAGTGAGTAGGTGAGTGAGTAGGTGAGTGAGTAGGTGAGTAAGTAGGTGAGCGAGTAGGTGAGCGAGTGGATGAGTGAGTAGGTGAGTGAGTAGGTTAGTGAGTAGGTGAGTGAGTAGGTGAGCAAGTGGGTGAGTGAGTAGGTTAGTGAGTAGGTGAGTGAGTAGGTGAGCGAGTGGGTGAGCGAGTAGGTGAGTGAGTAGGTGAGTGAGTAGGTGAGTGAGTAGGTGAGCGAGTGGGTGAGTGAGTAGGTGAGTGAGTAGGTTAGTGAGTAGGTGAGTAAGTAGGTGAGCGAGTGGGTGAGTGAGTAGGTGAGTGAGTAGGTGAGTGAGTAGGTGAGCGAGTGGGTGAGAAGTGGGTTGCTCACCTCGGGGCTTGCGGTTGCTCCGGTGGCTCCTGCACGCGTTCTGCGCTGCTTCCTGCTTCTGGGCCTCAGTGATCACGAACCCTGGGGGGGGCGCGAGGTGGGGGGGGGGGGGGCACGAGAGGGGGCGGGGAGTAGGGACGTGTTAACCCCCCAATCTCGCTCAAGGGCTCTACGGGGGTTCCCTGTTTTAGTTTGCCTGTGTAGAGGTGTAATTGCGCATGTCTACGAATGTTGAGGTGTGATTATGCATGGCCACGGATGGCCAACAAACACAAGGGGCGGGGTTACGGCCGTACACAAGGGTGGCGCTCGCACCGACGTCCGCATGTGTATCCCCCACGGGCCCCCCCCCCTTGGGGGCAAGTCCTATAAAAGGTGATGAGCCGAAAGGCTCGGGAGTCGGGACTCAGCTATAACCAGAGAAGACGGAAGACCAGCTAGTGTAGGCCCCAGAGCTCCCCTGGCTCGCTGTCCTTATAAGGGCCGACCAGGGCAAGCCGGTGGCGTGGCCCCGAGAGCCCAGACGAAGCTGGTCTGGTGACTCAGGGAGCCGGGATCCCAGCTTAACCAAGCTGGGACAGATAGCCTCCCCTAGTCCCGTAGTGGAGGAATTGGTATAGGTTAGAGGGGTTAGCTGTCGAGAAATCCCTGTAGCCCAGTGACCTGTAAATAACTGTGTTGGTGTAATAAATAAGTGTGCCTCCGATCCTGTCGTCAAGCCTCCATATACTTACTACATCTGGTGTCAGAAGTAAAACGTCCAAACGATGGACACACGAGGGACGACACGTACCAAGGAGTCGGAGATGGAAGACGCCGCGGCCGATTCAACACCAGAGATGGCCGGGGTCGGATCGGAGCAGCCGGGGCCAAGTACGCCCGTGCCGCTACGACAAGAGGGGGGGGATGCGTCGGCTGAAGGACTCCGGCTGGCCCACTCCCGCCTGGCGGAACTGCTCTACGCCGCCGCCGCTGCGTTGGAGGAGATCACGCGGCTGGGGGCTGGAGGGGCAGCGCGGGTCGACGACAGCAGCCGGCGCGCGGCAACGTTTCCCGCCACCCCGACGCGGCTGGCGGTTAAATTTCCCGCCATCTCTACAGTGCGAGCGGACGGCGGGGCCGGCCCGCGTCACGTGACTGCTGAGCGCCAAGCACAAGCCGTGACATCATCAACACCGGCCGGCGCGTCAACATCGGAGCGACCGGCGATGCCATGTGCACAGCCCGCCCACACTGTATCATCGGCGGGGAGCGACGGAGAGCGATCTACAGCCACGGACGTCGCCTTGCAGCAGCGTCTGCCACCTCTGAAAGAATTCGTAGGCGCAGACGGAGACTGGGGCGGCTTCAAGAGACGGTTCATCGCTCATCAGGAGATGGCGAACTGGACGGACGCCGAGGCTCTACGCGCGCTGCCAGCGATGCTGGACAACGACGCCCTGGCTACCCTCACCTCGGCGCCGAGGGAAAAGCGCGCCACCCTACACCTGGCGTTGCAGCTGCTGTCAGCCGTCTATGGGCCGCCTTCGGACTGCAGGCAGCTTTTCCACGATCGGCGTCGGGGCACCAACGAATCACCTCTGGCCTTCCGGACTGCTCTCCTGGCTCTAGCGAAGGCTGCTTTCCCAAGGATGGACGAGGAAGGAGTGGATGCCATGGTGGCTGAGAAGCTGCTGCTACTCGCTGATGAGCTGGACGTCAACGTCCTGGCTCAAGACGACTCAGAGATGTCGTCCCTGCTGGTCGCGCGCCACATCCACGGGGGCTTGCGGTCCCTTCGTCGAAAGGCGGCAAAGGGGGCGGCCAGCCATGCCATGGCGGCTACCGCCCTCCCATCGGAGGAGGTCTGCGGGGTGGAGCGGCGAGGGGAATGGAGAGCGGCAGTACCACAGGCTCGGAATGGACCGAGCCGCCAGGAGCAGCCCAGGACATCGGGGGCGCTCACACGCTGCTACAACTGTGGCCTGCAAGGCCACGTTGCGTCAGGATGCCGGGCTCCCCGTCAGCGCGGGGCGACACCTCGTCAGGACGCCACGCCGTCTCCTCCCAAGCTCCAGCAGAGAAATACGGCGAGTCGCGGCACCTCACACGTTTGGCCCACGCACACATCCGACACACACTCACGCGCCCAACTCAACAGGGCTCCAAATTCCCCATCCGTCGCGCGCGATCGTTCGGTAATGCGGCGGGCGCTCCAACCGGGTCAGTGGTCGGAGCTCGCCCATCGTGTCGTTGCTGCGTCGGCGGGATCTTCGGTCGTGGTCGGTCACATTGATGGGGTAGAGGTGCGGATTTTAATTGACACAGGGGCATCGGCGACCATTATATCTGATTTAATTTATAACATCCTTCCCGTTCAAAGTCGTCCCTTGCTCCCTGTTGACGTGCCGTGCTATGCCGCTAACGGGGGCTCTCTGGGCATTATTGGCCAAATCCGCGCCACTATCTGCATTGGGGACATTAAATTATCCGGGCCTGTTTTGGTTTCCTCCTCACTCGCGGTTCCGTGCCTGTTGGGGACGGATTTTCTGGCCAAAATGCCCATCCGCATCCTTATTGACCAAGGGTGCATTGAGCTCCCATCGGGCCGACGCGTTACATTTCTGTCTTCCCCCACCACGGAGCGTCGGGCGTTTGCCACCGTGCAGGCGCTCGTCACAAAAACTGTGCGCGTGCCTCCGGGGGCTCAGATGCTCGTCCCTCTTAGATTGCGTCGGCCGTTTAATGAAGGGGTTGCGGATCGGGGGGTCTTGTTGGGACCATCTCGGGCCGGGGTAAATGGACCAGATTTGCTCGCGGCTCAGACCATGGTGAGAGGGGATGGGGACCCCTTCATTGCAGTCCTTAATGTGGGATCGCGAACGGCCGTGGTTCCTCAAGGGACCGTGCTTGCACACGCAACGCCGGTACCCTATGAGGAACCACTCGTGGGTCAGGTATCCACCGATCCTCCGTCGCGACCGCATTCGGACTGTGATGACGGTTGGCTGGATGCGCTTTGCGCGGGTTCAGTGGACCTGTCCGACTCGCAGCGCGCGCAGCTGCGAGTTCTTCTGAGCGAATTTGCTGACGTTTTTAGTCAACACAAATTTGATATTGGTTGTACTAAATTGCTGCGACACCATATTGACACGGGTGACAGCGCGCCAATCCGCCAAAATCCCTTTCGGTTGAGTCCCGCCGAAAAGGATCATGTCAAATCGGCTGTTGATGACATGCTAGCCGCCGATATCATTTCCCCTTCCAATAGCCCGTGGGGCGCGCCGATCGTTTTGGTGAAAAAACACGACGGATCACTGCGGTTTTGTGTCGACTTTCGGCGTCTGAACAAAATCTCTGTGGCAGATGCGTACCCGCTTCCTCGAATGGATGAGTCGCTCGATGCCTTGGCGGGGGCGCGATTCTTTTCCACCCTCGATTTGCTATCTGGATTCTGGCAGCTTCCTCTGGATGACGAATCAAAACCTAAGACTGCTTTTCGGACACCGCAGGGTCTCTTCCAATTTAACCGCTTGCCGATGGGTTTACATTCTGCGCCGGCAACTTTTCAGCGGTTAATGGAATTGGTCTTGGCAGGGTTGCAATGGGATTCGTGTTTGATTTACTTAGACGATGTCATCGTCTTTAGCAAATCCTTCGAGGAACACCTCCAGAGGTTGCGTGCTGTTTTTCTCAAAATGCGGGCTGCCAATTTGAAATTTAAACCACAGAAGTGCCATTTACTCCGCGAATCGGTGCGATATTTGGGTCACATTGTTGGGCGCTCGGGGATATCCACTGATCCCGCCAAAACGGAATGCGTCAGCTCCTGGCCGACTCCCACCTCTGTGGGAGAGGTCAGGAGTTTCATTGGGTTCGCGTCGTATTATCGGCGATTTGTGGCTGACTTCGCTACGATTGCGAAACCTTTGCATGCCTTGACGTCCAAGGGAGTCAGGTTTCATTGGGGGCCGGAGGAGGAGGCTTCTTTTCGCGCCCTCCGGAATGCTTTGGTGGGGGCGCCGCCGTTGAATTACCCGGATTTTTCACAACCCTTCTTGCTCGATACAGATGCAAGTAACACGGGCATCGGGGGCGTGCTGTCCCAGCTCATTGGGGGCGTAGAGCATGTGGTGGCTTACGGTAGTCGGGTACTGTCTCCAGCCGAACAGCGGTACTGCGTTACCCGTCGGGAATTATTGGCGATTGTTTATTTCATTCAGCAGTACCGCCCGTATCTGTACGGTCGGCGGTTCACCGTCCGTACAGATCATGCGGCCCTACAATACGCCCTGCGGGTTCAACAACCATCGGGCCAGTTGTCTCGATGGTTGGAGATTCTCCAAGACTATGACTTTGTCACCACATATCGTAAGGGTCTCCGCCACACGAACGCTGACGCCCTGTCGCGATTGCCACCCACTTCGGAGTGCGCGTGCCTCTTGGGTTCGGGGCGTTGTAGGTCTCCGAACGTCACCACCGATTCGGTCCTCGTGGCCGCTGCCGATGCACCTTCGGTTTCGGGTCCTATCGAGCAAGAAGGGAGGGATTCGTTGCTGGGGTTGTCAGTCGCGGAATGGGGTCGCCTCCAAATGGAGGACACCTCCCTCCTCGCTCTGCGCCGTCGCGCCGGGGGGATTGGCCAGGGGGTGGAAAACGTTGACTCGTGGGGGTTGTTCCAGGGACTTTTAATGCACTGGAATGGTAAAACCCGGCGCCAGCGGCTCGTGGTGCCTGCTGCTTTAAGGGGTAAGGTGGTATGGGCTGTTCATGAGCGGCTTCTGCACTTGGGGGTTCATAAGACCTTTGCCACGCTCCAGCTAGATTTCTTCTGGCCGGGCATGGAAAAGGACGTGGGGGACCTCTTGGGGTCGTGCACGCAATGCGCGCAGAGGAAGCCACCTGCTAGGGGGTCCAACCCTCCGCTGCAGTCCATAAAAGTTTCCAGGGTTAACGAGCTCGTCGCTCTGGACATACTTGGCCCATTTCCCGCTACACCCAGGGGCAATAGGTATTTACTAACGGGGGTTGAATACTTCACGAGATGGCCTATGGCCTGGCCCCTGGCGAACCAATCGGCAGCAGCCATCGCGGAGGCCTTTGTCCAGGGCTATGTCCTCGACAAGGGTGCTCCGGAACGGCTGCTTACTGACCAGGGTAGGAATTTTTCTGGTAAACTCCTACGTGAGGTGTGCGACCTCTTGGGTACGGAGAAGGTTCGGACCTCTCCGTATCACCCACAAACTGACGGGATGGTGGAACGGCTGCATCGGACCATCACGTCCATGCTGTCCCAGCAGGTGTCGGTATCCCAGACGGATTGGGACCTCCGCATAGCCGGTGTGTTGCAGGCCTACAGAATGGCTCCCCATGCGGCCACCGGATTTTCCCCTTTCTTTTTAATGTATGGGCGCGAAGTTAACCCTCCTGTGGCGACCCAGCTGAAGCTCTCGGCGCTCCAGGCGAAGTCTAAGTTGTCCGAACACGTTAAATTTAACATCGCTCAATTGTCTGAGGCGCGGGAAGCGGCCGTGCAAAATTCTGAACTCCGCCAGAAGGCGAACGAGAGGCTTCGGTTGGGGCGGGTGCAGGTGGTCAAATGGGTACCAGGGGACAGGGCGTGGTTGCACTGTCCTCAGGTGCCGCTGGCAACCTCGTCGAAATTGGTACGGCCGTGGCGGGGGCCAGTGGAGGTCGTGCAGGTTTTGCGGCCGCAATGTGTTCGCGTCAAATGGGGGAGGCGCCGGTGGTATGTGCACCCCTCAAGGTTAAAACCATTCGTCACGCCGCCCCGGGGTTCACACACACACACGCATGGCCAAACGTGTGAGGGTGTCGCCGACTCCCCGTCGTCGCTGCACTCGCCAAACCTGACGCCAACTGTTCCGCCCCCAGGTGAAACAGGAGTGACGGGCCCACGCCCACCAACCCCTCCCGGAGGGGTCGGGGGTCACTCGGCAGCGGAGCCTGACCCTCTTGCACCCGGACCGTCAACAACCGTCACTGAGCGTGCCGGGACGGACCCTTGTGACGGACCCGCCGCGAGAACGCGCGCCAAAACGCGCAGACTTTTGTGAGGTCGGCCGTTGGGGGGCCTTGCGGACAAAAGGGGAGGGGTGTTGTGAGGTCGGCCGTTGGGGGGCCTTGCGGACGATGGGAAAGGTGACGTCCGGAGTGTATATATATGTTGGTTTTGGGGTGTTATCCGGGGGGGGTGCGTCGGGTTATTTTTTTTCTCTCTCTCTCTCTTCCTCTCGTTGTTCTTGTTCTTGTTAAAAATTACGCGAGGCACACACGGGGTTTTTGTGAGGGATGCACCTTTATTCTGATTTTTTTTGCAGCCGGGGACGGCTGCGAGCTGTACAGGGGGGGGTGATGTAGAGGTGTAATTGCGCATGTCTACGAATGTTGAGGTGTGATTATGCATGGCCACGGATGGCCAACAAACACAAGGGGCGGGGTTACGGCCGTACACAAGGGTGGCGCTCGCACCGACGTCCGCATGTGTATCCCCCACGGGCCCCCCCCCTTGGGGGCAAGTCCTATAAAAGGTGATGAGCCGAAAGGCTCGGGAGTCGGGACTCAGCTATAACCAGAGAAGACGGAAGACCAGCTAGTGTAGGCCCCAGAGCTCCCCTGGCTCGCTGTCCTTATAAGGGCCGACCAGGGCAAGCCGGTGGCGTGGCCCCGAGAGCCCAGACGAAGCTGGTCTGGTGACTCAGGGAGCCGGGATCCCAGCTTAACCAAGCTGGGACAGATAGCCTCCCCTAGTCCCGTAGTGGAGGGTTAGCTGTCGAGAAATCCCTGTAGCCCAGTGACCTGTAAATAACTGTGTTGGTGTAATAAATAAGTGTGCCTCCGATCCTGTCGTCAAGCCTCCATATACTTACTACACCTGTAAGAGTGTGAATGGGCCAGTGTGTGAGTGAATGAGTGAGTGTGCGAGTGTGCGAGTGTACGAGTGAGTGAGCGAGTGTGCGAGCGAGCGAGTGACCCCCCTCCCCCCCCGCGCGCTCCACCCCTACCCGTCTCCTGGTCCTCCCGCACGCGCCTGCGCTCCTCGCGGAACGCGCTCTCCCAGCGCTGTTGGTCACCGTGGCGACGCGCGCACATTACGATGACGGTCGGCGTGGCGACGCAGCGCAGCTTGAGGGCGTTGCGCGTGGCGACGCCGGTCTCCGCGTCGCGCCCGTCCTCCACGCACTCCACGGAGAGCGCGCCCGTCTCCACCCGCCCCTTGTAGTAGAGCACGTCACGGCGCAGCAGGTCCTGCACGGGGAGGGTGCGCACGGGGGTAGAGCACGCGGGAGGAGAGAGTGTGTGGAGAGAGAGTGTGTGCAGAGAGTGTGTGGAGAGAGAGTGGGCAGGGTGAGAATGCGTGGGGAGAGAGTACAGAGGGGGAGAGATCACGGACTAGACAGAGTTTACATGCGGCTGACACAACCCGCTTGGATCACACGCACGCCGTTCACTCACGCCACTTGGCCCAGCAGTCTGTTCAGTCGATACGGCATGACCTTGTCTCGCGTGCGTGTGTGTGTTCATGCGCGTGTGTGTGTGTGTTCATGCGCGTGTGTATGCGTGCGTGCGTGTGTGTACGCGTGCGTGCGTGTGTGCGTGCGTGTGTGTACGCGTGTGTGCGCGTGTGTGGGTGCGCGTGTGTGTGTGAGCGTGTGTGCGCGTGTGTGCGTGTGTGGGTGCGCGTTACCTTTTTGCAGAGCACGAGCTGGTGGTCAAAAAGGAAGGCCACCCTGTGCTGGGGCCGCCCCGCACCGCCGTGCACCGTCAGGCTCACCTCGCCCGAGTGCAGCAGCTCCGAGCTGCGCTCCAGCACGTCCTCGCCCTGCACTCGCGGGGACACGCGCGGACACGCGGGGACACGTGGGGACACGTGGGGACACGTGCGGACACGTGGGGACACGTGGGGACACGTGGGGACACGTGGGGACACGTGTGGACAGCCCCACAATCGCGTCCTGCACGGCTCCCGCTTGTTGACCCGCACTGACCCAACTCTGGTTCCCACAGTCTCCCCGAGTGTTTGGGGGCTGCATTCTCCTCGCAGCGTGGAGGACTGTGACGTTACATCGATCGACTCCACTTTGTGCGATCAGGTGAACGCTCAAAAGACCGGGGCTCACTTGCACTGGTGGTGACCTGCGGCATCAGCGTGCTGCCAGTATGAGTGGGCGATGATCACACGAAGAATGTTTACCGTCCACGTGTAGTGTGTCTCCTGTTGCACGTGTAGTGTGTCTCCTGTTCACGTGTAGTGTGTCTCCTGTTCACGTGTAGTGTGTTCACCGTCACAAGCCCACCGCTGTATGAACCACCTGCACTGCCACCTCCTGCCACCCCTTGCGCCACCCCTGCACCGCCACCTGCACTCCCACCCCCTGCACCACCCCCTGCACCACCCCCTGCACCACCCCCTGCACCGCCACCTGCACCACCCCTGCACCGCCACCTGCACTGCCACCTCCTGCCACCCCCTGCACCACCCCCTGCACCGCTACCTGCACTGCCACCTCCTGCCA